TACCTGCTGCCAGTGCTACCTGCTGCTAACTCTTATCTGCTGCTAACCCTATCAGTGCTAATGTTACCTGCTGCCAGTGCTACCTGCTGCTAACTCTTATCTGCTGTTAACTCTATCGAGTGCTAATGTTACCTGCTGCTAACCCTATCAGTGCTAATGTTACCTGCTGCCAGTGCTACCTGCTGCTGACTCTATCTGCTGTTAACTCTATCGAGTGCTAATGTTACCAACTGCTAACTCTGCCTGCTGGTAACTCTCTGTAATATCTCTTACGTAATTGAAAAGTCGGGAATTAGCCTTTGAAGATTTTGATTAGTAAAATATAGGGACTGTTGGCTCCGCCCCCTAACCAATGGGTGACCAGCGGTCCTCTGATGCATTTTCAGTGCGACCTGGAACTGTTGAAACCACAGGGTCTAAAAACACATCATTATAGGTTCCTAATGCAGATGTGGAAAAGGTGAATGGACCTGTGGTGAATGGTTCTGAGTCGGTACTGGTGGAAAAAGATGAAATGAACTGGACCTTCTAATGCAGCAAAGTTCTGGATTTGGACCGAGCAGATCATCCAGGTGCTGCGGAAGGAAAGCATCTCCAGACCATCATAGTGCCCCCTCCATGTCTGGTTGTCAGTTTGATGTTAGCTTAGCTGTCCTCTCTCTGTCTCTGTGTTCCTTTGGATCAGCAGTGATTCTGCTCAGTCTCTCTTCCTTAAAGAATTGTGACCTCTGACCTTAAGTGAGGCAGTGAGTTGTTCCGGGTGTTTCAGGAACTCCCTGGGGGGTTCTGTTGGGCTGGTCGTGGTTGTTTCATGCGGTTTTGGGTCACTGCGGTTCTTCGTTTCAAATGTTGGGTTCAGCTGCGTTGCAGGAACCTCTGCCCTCTGACTGACGGAACCGTCTGGTGGATCAGGAGCTAAACTGCTGCTTGGCAGTTAGAATACTGTTCCGTTACACTGAAATGGACTCTCCAGAACCTGGATCTACCCAGAACCCCTCAATAGCTGCCACTATGGCCCAAACGGTTTCATGTTGGGGCCTGCTGGGTTCTACTGCCCGCCTTAGAAAAGAACAGACCCTTTGCTGTAGGAACAGGTTCTTCTTGCCATGTGGGTCCACTCGTCAGTCTGGGTGGAGCTTTGCAGTCAGTCCAAATGGGAGCACTGGTTCTGCTTACAGGATGGTTGAAGGGGTCTGGCATCATTTGGACCCTACAGATGGGATGTTCTGGATCAGGTGGAGGTTCTCTCTGAGGCCTCCATACCAAACACTCTGATCCGGTTCGCCTCATTTTAGGCTCTGTAGTACTGCTGTGGTTCTAATGGGTCAACCGCTGTAGGTACCAGATCTGCTCGGGGCCCCGCCCCTTCTCATGATGTCATCATACGGCAACTCCACTGGGACAAACTGTATTTATCCGTTTCCTAAGGATCAAACCTCTTTTGGAACTCAACATATTATTCCCTATAATTGCTGTTTACTTTTCATCTGCGATCTAAAGTAGCAGAAAGTAGAAAAGAATAAAGTCTCAGTTTATCTTTATTCTTTTTATTAACATCTGAGGACAAATGTAACACACTGAAAAATGACTTTCATAGAGATTTTAGATAAAACAGTTGTTCTACTTGTAGAAGACTAACGGTTTAGTGTAGCTTAATGTGGCTAACTGAGCGAGCTAAAAGAGGCTAACCTGTTAGCTACAGCTAGTCACCCAGCGGTCTAACAGTCACTTTGTTCACCAGAAACAGATTTTTCTCAGTTTTGTAATCAATCAGGTGAAACTGCAGCGGTTATTAGACACGCTAACGGACGCTGCGTGATGTTATCGTTGTCTGGACAACCACAATGTTTTACATCATGTAACGTTCAGCCGATCATGTAGCGTGGCGTCTCTGGCATGAAGCAGGGATGGAGCACACCTAACCCTAACCCTAACCCTAGCTACAGCAGAACCTAGATCCGTGGATCAGAGAGGTTTCAGTCCATCCATGATCCATCAGACCCGGAGCAGCAGAGCGGTTCTGATGGGAGCGTAGAAACTAAAGCTGTCGTCTGTCGCCTGCAGTTCAGGCGGTGCTGGGTAACGGCGGCTCGCTGAGCGAGGAACGCAGCGACGTCCTAAACAGGAAGCTGGACTGGAGCTCCATGGACTCTGCGGAGAAGAAAGGATCCAGTGAGATCTCAGGTGTGATGCACAGCCTCAGCTGGCGGCTCTGTTTCTGTCTGAGAGCCTCATCGTCTCCTGTTGGTCCACAGAGGATACGCTGAACTTCTGGAAGGGCATCGCTGATGTGGGCTTACTGGGAGAAGTGGTGACCAACATCAACACAGAGCTGGTGCAGATGCTGGATGGCGTCCTGCAGCGCAGAGAGCAGGCCGTCCTACAGGACACAGGTATGAGACCAGAACATCTAAGTGGGTTCCTGCAGAATGACCCGAAAGAAAGAACAAGTTCTGCTGCGGCTGGAAACCAGCTTAGGATGTTCTCCAGTCTGATTTCCTGAATGCAGCAGCTGAAGTTGTTCTGACTGACCTTTGATTGGTTGCCACACTGATCCCAGATTCCTGTCTGGTAGAGGTGGCCGTGCTCAGTAACCTGGCCCAGGTCTTCGGCCTGCTGGACTTGGTGAAGAAGGTTCTGGAGAAGAGGAAGCAGCAGACGGATCCCAGCCAGGAGCAGATCCTCAGCATCCTGAGCAGTAAGTAGGAGGTGTCTGTTAGTGCTGCTGAAGGTTCTCAGGCTTCCAGGTCAGAGTCNCCTCTTTTGGAACTCAACATATTATTCCCTATAATTGCTGTTTACTTTTCATCTGCGATCTAAAGCAGCAGAAAGTAGAAAAGAATAAAGTCTCAGTTTATCTTTATTCTTTTTATTAACATCTGAGGACAAATGTAACACACTGAAAAATGACTTTCATAGAGATTTTAGATAAAACAGTTGTTCTACTTGTAGAAGACTAACGGTTTAGTGTAGCTTAATGTGGCTAACTGAGCGAGCTAAAAGAGGCTAACCTGTTAGCTACAGCTAGTCACCCAGCGGTCTAACAGTCACTTTGTTCACCAGAAACAGATTTTTCTCAGTTTTGTAATCAATCAGGTGAAACTGCAGCGGTTATTAGACACGCTAACGGACGCTGCGTGATGTTATCGTTGTCTGGACAACCACAATGTTTTACATCATGTAACGTTCAGCCGATCATGTAGCGTGGCGTCTCTGGCATGAAGCAGGGATGGAGCACACCTAACCCTAACCCTAACCCTAGCTACAGCAGAACCTAGATCCGTGGATCAGAGAGGTTTCAGTCCATCCATGATCCATCAGACCCGGAGCAGCAGAGCGGTTCTGATGGGAGCGTAGAAACTAAAGCTGTCGTCTGTCGCCTGCAGTTCAGGCGGTGCTGGGTAACGGCGGCTCGCTGAGCGAGGAACGCAGCGACGTCCTAAACAGGAAGCTGGACTGGAGCTCCATGGACTCTGCGGAGAAGAAAGGATCCAGTGAGATCTCAGGTGTGATGCACAGCCTCAGCTGGCGGCTCTGTTTCTGTCTGAGAGCCTCATCGTCTCCTGTTGGTCCACAGAGGATACGCTGAACTTCTGGAAGGGCATCGCTGATGTGGGCTTACTGGGAGAAGTGGTGACCAACATCAACACAGAGCTGGTGCAGATGCTGGATGGCGTCCTGCAGCGCAGAGAGCAGGCCGTCCTACAGGACACAGGTATGAGACCAGAACATCTAAGTGGGTTCCTGCAGAATGACCCGAAAGAAAGAACAAGTTCTGCTGCGGCTGGAAACCAGCTTAGGATGTTCTCCAGTCTGATTTCCTGAATGCAGCAGCTGAAGTTGTTCTGACTGACCTTTGATTGGTTGCCACACTGATCCCAGATTCCTGTCTGGTAGAGGTGGCCGTGCTCAGTAACCTGGCCCAGGTCTTCGGCCTGCTGGACTTGGTGAAGAAGGTTCTGGAGAAGAGGAAGCAGCAGACGGATCCCAGCCAGGAGCAGATCCTCAGCATCCTGAGCAGTAAGTAGGAGGTGTCTGTTAGTGCTGCTGAAGGTTCTCAGGCTTCCAGGTCAGAGTCATTCCCTACAAGTTCAAAAATATCCACTGGACCTGGTTTCCAAGGTCTGAAGACGTTTGGTTTCCTCTCCAGGAAGCTTTCTCATTTCAAATATCTGGATCTGCAGTGAGTTTGAGTCTTTATAGACACATGGCCCAAAACAGGAGAGCGCCCTCCTCTGGACAAGACTCTGCAGGACATCTACACCTTGGTTTGAGAGGAAGGAAGCCATCTATGTTCAGAGAGCAAAAACAACTTTAAACAGAGGGGGGGGGGGGCTCCAAAAACTTACAATTCAGTTCTAGAGATGATCCCTTCCAGATATCACCACAGCCCCCCCCCCACCATCACAGAGGAACCAGGGACCTACCCGCCCCAGCCGGTGAACAATCCCTCCTTAACGGCCGACCCTCAGAATCATAGACAGGTTCAGGTATTACAGGCTAACAATGGAACCAAACGACCCATTCATCTGTTTCCATTAGCATGTTTCCAACCAACACCAGGCCTGGTCTATATAAGACTCAGTGCGGATCCAGACATTTGAACTGAGGAAGCTTCCTGGAGAGGAAGCGAAGCGTCTTCAAACCTTAGAAACCAAGTCCAGAGGATTGTTTTGAACTTTTATGGAAAGGTGTCTGTTAATGATTTAATAGTTTAGATTTAATAAATCCACTAAGAGAAGCAGAGCGGCTCTACATCCAGCAGAACCTGCTGCCAGAACTGGAGCACCATCGGTTTTCTAGTGATAACTCACTTCTATAGATGAACTATAAAGGTTTACCACAGTCCTGGCTAATGCTAATGCTAATGCTAGCTCCCGCCACAGGCAGCAGGGGCTGAGATGTTGGCAGGAAAGTATCATCTACATAGATATAGGCCTCTGGTTCCCAGCATTAACTCCAACATGTGAAATAAAGTGAAGCAATAAGGCTCTGCGTCACAGCAGGCCAAACCAAGCAGGGAGTTCACCTCCTGAGAACGATTATAACCAAGAAATAAAGAGAACAAAGAACTAACAAGGAAACAATGAAAAACCTTAATTCAGTTTAACAGCAGAGTGGATTGTTGATGAGATTTAATCAAGTTTGGTCTCTACAATAGAAATCAGATCATATTCTACCCAAACCTGC